ATCAACGACCTGCTTCAGATTATTCAGTCGCCATGTGCCCTGTTCGTGAATGACCGGAACATTCGGAAAAAGATTAGCACCCCCGAAGACTGGAGCCTACCTCAGCTGCCTCTGCATGTGGTCTGCAGAGGTTTGCCTTCCAATCAATCCAATGAATTCGGTATGCATAGACCTCGGAAAGGGTGGTGACGACCGAACTTATACCACTGTCTGTCAAACGTTACATCCCACACCTTCCTTAAAGGACCCAGACGTACTCTTGTGCTGAAACTTGAAGTTCGCGGATAACATGAACAGAATATATCATAACGAACTGCACATGCTATGGGCTATCAGACGCAGCTTTGTAAATAGTTCGAAGAGGTCGCCATTCGCCTCTCCTCTTCCATCATAAGACTAATACTAGAGTACAGTTCGCCCACTTAAAGTCCAATCAACCGAGGCGAGGCGCAGAAGGTCGAATGGGTCCGACACTTCGCTACCAGGCTCATTCCTAATTTACGAAGATCGCTGCGAAAAACTAGTAGCGTATAATTTGTCCTATCGTCGCTTGCGAGTCGATCTCATCATGATTTACCGCGTATTACATGTCGGTGACTTCCCTATTTTGAGGCCGCTGATTCACTTGAAAACGCTATGCACCACACGCGGGCACGGATACAATCTTGTGGTGCCGGATATAAAACGATTACCTCACATCCTGTGCTTTGAACGGAGAGTGGCAAATGTTTGGAACAGTCTGCCAAAATAAGTCGTGGAGACCATTCCATTCAGAGAACGATTGCACACTGACAATGACCTTTAACATTTGTGAGCCTAATGATACCTTAGGTCAGACATCTTTAACTGCTACGTAAGAAATTGGAGAACGCTTAGAGAATCAATATATGTTTGCTAATATTCCTGTGAAGTTGTGCACATCTTAATTGCTACTTTCTCCCACAATACAGTATTCAGCTTAAAATCATTCATGCCGCAGTACAAGCAAGTAGCCGATGTATGAGGGGGCTTTCATGAAGTCATGCTGTACCTAAACCAGGTTCTTCGATTCCAGCAACTGTACATCATTCTCCACGGCCTTCTCGAGTACCATGGCCAAAAAACGTTCAGACAAAGTGGGCCTTTAATTGCCATCTTGCTTAGGTCACAGTCCTTTGAAATCCGTTTTAATGATGAAAAATTTCCAGTCGCTCGGTAATGCACGCTCGGGAAACGACGTTGCAAAGTCCAAAAAGGACTTTGCTCATGTGGCCAAACTGGATTACCTATTTGAGGACATGACCTCCTTATCCTCAAACCCCTCACTTACTTTCATATGGGAATATACACATGTTTGCTTCGAATACATGCATTATGAAACACTTTTTTCATTTTGTACCATTGGCATATCCTTGACCTTTCAAGGTCAAATGTCACCTTTGACAGACTAGCGATTAGCAAACTGCTACACTGTACCATTTTCGCACACCGTCGCACGTCTTTCAGTATCATCACTTTTTCATTAAGACTGCAAAGCTATTCGTAAGTTGATTAGTGTTTTTAATTTAAATTATGGCATCAGAGTAACAGGAATTTACGTTTCATTACCTCTGCCCAGACCGTGCGTAGAGTGTAGGTTCACTGGTCTACCGTTTTCCAATCCCGTCTCGTGCGGTTACTTAGTCTAGGTGTCATGTAGTCGCTATTGACCTGCAGTACAGATGAGTCACAGAAGACGAGATGTTGGCCGATAACGACCTGAGAAGAAACGACGGCGTCGTGCTGCCAAGAGCGGCGAGTAGATTGTGCACCTAGTTCAAACCGCAATCCAGGCTGTGGAGTTCGTTTTGTGCGGCTCAGATCGAACACGGTATACACGTACGGTCATTTTCAAATACGGAAGCGGTGCGCCGAAATTGCGGACGTACGCTCAGTGCTCGCAGTTAGGGGCTGTCTCTTGGAGCTCTCTATCACTGGTACATAACTTACCGCCTTTAGGCGCCGTTACATGCAACCAAAGATCATTTTGAGGACTATAACTTTGAGGCCGTCTTCAGTGCGACTGCAATGCGCCCTATGAACTGTTGATGCTTCTGTGCTTTCGTGCTGTCGCATAAATTCCGCTGTCTCTTGTACACCACGTAATCATCGACAGAGCCAGACAGGACTTTATACCATGGCACGTGTCCAGATATTACCTTCGCGAACTCTGTCCGGGAGAAGCTGAACATCAAGCCGGAGTATTGGAGGCAAGCAGAAATCACCCATGAGCAGGAAGGAAGGACGACTCATGGGATCTCAGACATGCGGAAACGAGTTCACACAGCGACATCGCGGACAGTTTATCACATCTCAGGTGGGTCGAGCAGCACAACTGCTTGTATGGGCCATCTTCACTTCGGTATGAGTTTACGAACCTCGTGCACAAGTTAGAGCGAATGTAGATCAAGACATCGCCGCGGTTATTTAGTATTCGGTTGCACCGGAATCCCGAGTAGTAAATGAGCCGAACTTCCTGGGCAGTTAGCTCAAGACACAACCAGTTCTCATGAAGTCCAGGAATGCCCGGCTGGCGACAGGCGACGAAGTGACACCGCTCGTCACGTTTGTTCATTATACTGAAAACATGAGCGAATGCTATGCGCGGTCGGCGGCAGTAACCGCCGGGCGCGTAGGAAGCGTCATCGACCTTTTGATCCGGCTTCAGCGAACCTGAAGAACTACCGGGAAATTTTAAATGCGAAGATTTTTCCCCAACCATCTGTACTCTGCTTTCGCTCCTGGAATGACAGATCCATATCTGGATGAATATGGATTTTAAAATCCCTTAGCATACCGAAGCGGGATAATATCAATCTAAGATTACGTTCAATAACAAAAGTGACTCGTATGGACTGAGGCTTCTCTCCATCTCTCTTCTCAAGACGGAAGATGCGTTACAGCCTAAGCCCCTGGTTACCCACCTCGAGAAGTCTATCAATCGCGCTCCACAAAAACGACACCGTGGTGCATGAAATATCGTGCGGTTGCAAAGCCTCTGGTTAGCGGCAGATGACCTCACGTTCGTCTTCCATTGTGTTTTCCAATGACTATCATCGCTTACGTTATCGCACCCCGGGACATGGATGCCCGTACGACGCAACACAGTCACATAAGTTCCGGAGAGCTTACAACTGGCTGACAAGTGGGTTTACTCGAACATAAGAGTGGCTGCGTGTCCGTCTGTTCGGTTGTACTGAACACACCGAGCTCCTTGCTATGGAACGTTTTATCCTTCTTGTTGGCTCGTGAGGTTAACAAATCTTTCCGGCCGCATTTTACTTTGGCAATTCTTGCAAAATAGTGAGAAAAATCGTGCTGAATATAATGAGGAAATTTAAATTAGCCAATGGATGAACCATTGCAAGAAATAAGTTCACATGACACATAAAGTAGGGAACCATAGTTGTTCTATGACCGATAACTTTGAAACAAATACCACAGGGAGTTTGCTAGTCGTTAATAATGGTGTACCAAAGATGATAGACGTGGTGAACTGATCGACCAATAAGAGAAATAGAAAAGTACACAATCAAATGCACAGCTGGCATGTAAACACGAGACATATATAAAGGATCTGGAAAGCGACTGAATACGAAAAAAGTAAAATACTGTCATAAGCTGAACAAAATGGCCTGGAAATGGAGTTTGGAAGCTGAACCAGCGAGTGCTACTCGCAGCCGGGTGATGATAGACAGTGGTAGCCAACAGAAGTGAGACCACAGATTTGGAAATTCGTCACGATGCTGCTATCTTGCATGTGAGTTTCGGGTACACTGCACAGATTAATTCCAAGTTAGTGGTGCTTGTTGGTTGATGGAATTCAGAGCGTGGACGTTAAAGGAACCAAAGTGAAATGAGATTTGTGGTTTGAAGGGCGGGATACATGTATAGATAACACCAGACGAGAAGTCAGTGGTAGTCTTTTACTCAATAGACGGGGGAAAAGAGAGGCGCAGTGTGTGATAAACAAGAAGAAAGAGTATTGAAGACGATGTCTAGAGGGCTGATGAAATTCTCCGATTGTCCGTTTCGAGACAGAAGTTTGGTCCGATGCGTCATGCTTTTGTCGCTTGGCTCGACAATTTGACACATAAGGTAAGTAGGGTACACGGGGGTTTGCTTGAGTGAGGTAGGCAAACCACCGCTACACGTTAAGATAGAATCTCGACGTGATACATCAGTAACGTGTAAGCAAGGTACTCTGTTAACACCTAAGGGAATCTGCACTACGTTTGAGAAAGATGTGATTGCGACTTGCTGTAGCACACAACATCATAGCCCTCGGTTGTTGTCACTATCAGATTGCTTCCACGTGAGAGCAAAACGCGATAAATGAAAATGGCAAAACGAACTGTGGTGCCTTAAGTTGAATGGTGCAGGTAGATATCACGAGGACGTGGACTGGATTCCACCGGCTAGATCATTCGATTCAAAGATAACTACGAGAAAGAGGGGCATTAATCAGTAGGTCGGCACGCAGTACCGACACTGTGCTGCCGCGCAACCACCACCAGTCGCGCATTGGCTAAAGATACTGCAAGGATCGCCCGATCCCCTACGCAGGCTCGAACCCGAGATCTCATTTTACAGGGCAGGCTTGTGATACTTAAGGTAAAGGGCCGGCAAGGACAAATACAAGAGATACTTTGTCCTGCAAGACGTTCTGGAGCTGATGGCTGATGTTTGTGCTGAGGTTCGCATACAAGAGTTCAGCAAAGTTTTCACACTGAGTAAATGAAAGGGGTTTGAGTAAAGCTACATCGCTCAGAGCCAACCGCGTGAGCACGCACTGGGACTAAGGTGCACCTTGGCAGATAATCAAATTGCAAATATTGGCTGTGCTGCAAATTGCGAGGTCTTTCGCTAACGATTGTGACGTTATATTTAAGCAAAAAACAAATAGAGTGGATGATTTACCTGAGAAAAAGGAAGCTATTGACTAACATGAAAAATGAATACAGTAAGAGAAACGGACTTACGGTGAATGGGGATAAGAGAGGATGAATTTGAAGGAACGGGGTTGCGTCGGTTGTGTTAACACAGGAATGGGGATCGATTGGTGCCATAACCTCACAGTGATACTCAGGGAACAGTGAGAACAAACAGAATGTTCGATAATCCCGATAAGGCAAACTGTGTTTCTTTAGGCCTTGCGAAAACTCCTGCATTTTGGTCTGTAATTCCATGAAATCTACACATAAAGTGACATCAAAAGATCAGTAGCAGTGCTAGGCAAATAACGAAAGCGCGAGATAATACGAGATCAAAAGGTCAGAAAAGATAGGAGTGGACAAGGGTAACTATGCAACGGTTACATAGACTGAATACGGATCAAAGCGAGATAACCAAATAACACCTGAATTTTTCACGGTGCTGAAATCAGTACCGTCCTTGCGTGGGTTAATCTGACACTTATGCCAACAGCCTTGATCTACCTTGAGAGAAGGTAAACAAGTCGTAAAGCGACTAGAAATGATTTCCCACATCTTAAAGTCGTGAAGTCTGTCAATCCCTTGCAGTCTCACTCTTAGGTCTGACTCTAAACTCTTCCACTCGATCAATTTTGGCACGTTTGATGCATTAGTTTTGGACCGACAGTAAAGAATTGATTTCTTGCCGCTCTCTTTTTAATCATACCTATCCCAGGACAGTTAGATGTAGCACAATTTGATAGACACATCTTGATTGAAGAAGTAGAGCACACATAGGAAAATAACCACGAAAAGAGAGGCCCCACCAAAGAGAGGTGAGACTGCTTCGTTTTTAATGGTGTAAAACTTCATAGGATATGACTTTCGATGAGGGAAAGGTAGTTAAAAAGAAAACTTTCCGATACGGAAGTAGTCTGGAGAAGAAGATAGTGATAATCGGGAGACTACTAGTGTGATTATGGTGGACGGGTGGTAACAGTCGAATGGAACGTGCAGAAGCACAAACGGTGAACTAATCGACTTCAAGGATTGTGGGTACAATGATCTCTTGAATGTGATAATAAAATTGAATATGTTCAGCACCGGGACGATCCAGATAGTGATAAAATGGCCAAGTGACTAGGATAGTCTTTCCATCAGATATCGTGTTCGTTCACAGTAATTAATGCATAAATTTTTTACTCAGTATCAGATTTGAGAGAAGTTGAGTCGCTCAAAATACGTTTCTGTGTGGGAAGAAGTACAATTTGATGAATAGTCAGAAACGATGAAAGCTGAAGCCAATGAAACGGACTATGAGATGAACTAAACGAATAGGTCTTGGAAGGCACGCATACACGTCGCACTAGGTGTAGCATTCAGTGGGGGAAATAATCGTGTAAAAACGCAGTTTAACGCACAGCAACTGCGTACTGTGGTAGTTTGCACCTGTGTGCTGAGGAGGAGGCATCTGACGTTTGAACGTTGACATGGGCAGCACTGCCTGGGGTATGGTGAAGCCGGTTGATCGAGAGTTAAGGAGCCCTGAACGCTTCGGTCCACAATGAACGTGGACCGGAGGCTCATATGTGTCTAACGATGTATAAATGTATGAAAGGAATCAGGACGGAACATTGTAAGCACAGTCAGATATACCTTCTTTGAATATCCGCACAACGCGACTTTCATGTTCGGCGCATTTTTTGTCCAACCTCGCCTGATAGTCACGCTGACGCTGGTCGAAACGACGCCAAATCATGAAGGCAATGATCCCAACCACTATCATGAACAAAACCATAATGGTGACGATCAGGATCAGCTGATTCCTCAGGGCAACTTGACTAGGTACTATGAAGCGGATGACGCCCGGTCGGAACACCAGTGAGCGACCAAACTAGAGAATCAGGATTAAGAGAAATACAGCGGAGTGAATAGAAATAGTTTTAGGAGTGTCACTCGTAAAGAAAAGAGACACAATGATTCGCATGCAAAAAGCTGGCCGGAGGTGCGTACCCGATAGTAGAATGACGACACTGGCGATACTTCAAAATACTTTTTATCTTTAACGATAGTAAGAATGCTGAATGATGACTATGCTAAAAATCGAGGGGTTGCAGGATATGTATCAACCGCATTAAGTGAAATGGTGGCCATCCCTCACTAATGAGGGGCAAATGGGTGAATTTAGCCGATTATGGTAAGGGGACAGTGTGATAGATAGCATCATTGAAGATAACAGGTTTAATGGACTGAACAGTGTGTGAAAGCAGAATGGATTTGTTAAGCTGCACAAGAGATTAAGCGTAGGAGGGTCTGGAGATAACAACACAGCAATAAGAATTCCAAGCTGTGGCATTTTCGGGAAAAATTCGCGTAAATGACTGCGGTTGTGTCCTGCATGAGCCCCGAATTACCACGTATCTTCCGTCAGATTGCACAAGGTTTGAACGGGCAGAAATTCTGGGTATGTTAATGTGTGGCCACAAGGCGTGATTGGTTAGAAAAGTAGTCAGCTTACCCCTCCATTTAATCGTATGCGAAAAACTGATGCACAGCTCTGTGAACGCTTACCTGAACAATCACGGGGTAATTCAACCCAGGTTTCAACGAAGCCAGGTCCAAGTCGCATCGGATCTCTGTAGTGATCACTGAGCTAATTTCACAAGCTAATGAGTCGCCCAATTGAATAGAAAGCTCATCAGGAGCGGCCAACTCGGGGGCTGCAACCAACGAATCAAACTGGCCGAAAAGTCGTAAAAGTTGCCGAGCGCGAACCGAAGGAGGCATGAATGGTTCATTATCATCAAATGACATATTTTTATTATGAGCAGTGGTCACAGTGTATGAATCCGTGAAGATCTCAACAACCGGTTCAGGTGATCTATTTTGGACGCCTGGAGTAAAAGAATCTAACTCCTCCTCTCGCAAACCACCGACAAAGTGATCCACAGTTGGGTCAGAGTGAACCTACAAAATAACAGAAATTACATATTACGTGGCTCCCCAGTTTGCTGGTCATTCAGTGAAAATAGTCAATATGAACAACTAAGTACATAAATAAATGGGTACATTGCTAGACGGACAGGATAAGTTCACTTTGTGGAACGATCATTTTCTGAAATAGCTGAAGATGACAAGCTATAACAGGAGGACCAGAATTTAGTTGTTCTCAACTACTGGCTGGCTGGCTAGCCGAACAACCTCCTCGTGGTGCCAGCTGGGTGGTTCGGGTAAATCCCGTTCCAGCAAATGGTTCGGCGGCAGTGTTCCAGGATGTGGTGGGATTTCGCCTGGCAAGCGTTCTCTCTATAAAAAGCCACAAGTATCCGTTTAACAACACTGTGACATGGCGGATGTGACTCGCCACTAAATAAAGTCACTGCCTCTTCCCTTTTCCGGAGGATCATTCACACATCACGAACGTCATCTGATTCAAAGCGTTCCATTGATTCCCTTTTTGATGGCGAACACAACGAACAAAAGCACACACAGTCACATTTACCTACTCACACAACATGTCCCCTTCCAAATACACAGTTAAACATAGTTTTACATCTCAACACACACATAATTCCCATGTTATTGGTCCAAATGTACTAGTTTGTGCAACTGCTGATCACACATATCTGTAATACCATGATCACGCCCTTGATGGTGTGCCTCGCAGTGATGAGAATAAACTATTTATTTATTTACTTACCATAAGTGTCCCTTGAGCTCTAGTAGTTGTGACCCCATCCATAATAAAGCCGAAAGCGAGGTCCATGGGCCAAACTGGTATGTGTTTCAACAGAGAAGATCGCACAAGTTCCCTGAGTTTCAAATCAACGTGTTCCAGGAAATATGTTAGGGTGTCAAGCTTGATCACCTCAAAATGACCCGATGATGGATTGAGCGTGGTGCTTGTTGCTAGTAATGGAACAGATTGGAAAGTCTGTACTTGTTCACTGAAGTTGTCGATCATGGCTGGACTGAGGCATTCCAGTTCCCCAGTATGGTAGGAACATGGCTGTGAAAAAGACGCAAGTACAGATGAACAGGGCCATAACAAGGATGCTCGGATTGTCTGGACGCGATTGAAATAATGAAGGTAGCATATTAGGAAAGCAAATATAAGTGAAGCGCTATATGTGACGTGGGAATCCGACTGGTGCATGCATGGCGCCAAATGCTGAGGGTGGAAGGAAGCAGTTGAGAGCTCGAGTAGAACAAGTGGTGAACAGGGAGACAGCTGTGCTAGGGCATTGAACTGGCCACGCCTGCGCTAACGGACTGTACTGTATTCATATAGGTAAAGCGACTTTCAGAGCTACCGCTGAGCTAAAAGGAATCGCGAAACATATTAAACTCATACATATGTTATTTAAAAAATTGCACGTTAACCAGAAAGCTTCTATGGAAAAAGGGTTAAGGGAGAATGGTGTTCGGGGAGTCGATAAGTAGCAGAATGAAATTTTCTGGCTGAAAATTTACACCTTCTGGATACAAAGCAAATTTGTTGATTCGTGCCAGTCGGAACGAAAATGTACATTCGGTGAGATGGCTCCAACCGAAATGGGCGCGTCATGAGAGGCAAACCAGAAACGCACAGGCGATCCCCGCATGAGGGATGATCGACTGTGGATACATAAAGAAGAAAAACGAGACAGCTACCGCCATGTTAGAAACATGTGTGGCACTTTGCATGATATGTTCAGTGTGTAAAACCCAAGCTTTTGATGGAGTAGATGTTCTGTGTGATGTCGTTAGATAAACACCAACGTTGTATTAAATCGATTATCGTGGAGCGAGGGAGCCGGAAGCAACTGCATGGTCATGAAGAGAAGAGGAAAGAGGAAAGAACAACCATTACAGTCTCCTGGAGTGAACGCGCGCAGACGAAGGCAAACAAATAGGATCGAAGAACAGTCAAGCATGAACATCAGAAGCAAAGATGTCAGCTGCGTTGAAACAACCACAGATAGAAATAAAGATGAGAGGAGGGACTTGTCGAGCTCGGCTCACCTCAACTACAAGTTAGAAGTGAAACTTGATGTCAGTGTACGAGGGGTGTTCAAAAAGAAACCCAACATTTGAAATATCGCAGCGCGCTGCGGATACTGAAGGCATGTGGAGGCTTGCTTAGAAAACAAATTGTCATTTGCCGCATTTCGCTATGGCTGATGCTTGCGGAGCTACAGCCGCTAGAGAGAGCATGTGCACAAGCTGCCCGTCGGAGAAGTGCCAAAGAGACAATGAAAGAACTTGAAGAACAAAGCGTGGGTGTGAAATTCTGCTACAAGACGGCAAAACTTTGACAAACATTTCAGTTGATTAGACGAGCATACGGAGAGAATTGCATGAGTCGCAAGCAGTATTATGAGTGGTTTAAGTGTTTTGAACGGCGGAATGTCGGTCGGTCACGAACCCAAGCCTGGTCTACCTTCCACATCAGCAAACCATGACCATGGAGAGTTTGTGTTGTGTTCCCCTTGAAAATCGTCGTTTAACTGTTCGAGAAGTTGCTGACGAAGTGGGCATCAGCGTAAGCTCATGGCTTCAAATGCTAGCGCGTTTGAGGGATGCTGTGCGCAGGAAGAGATCTGAACTGTGAGAAAACCAGACTTGGTTGTTGCATCATGATAATGCATCGGTTCACGCATCGCTTCTTGTCCGCAGTTATCTAGCAAAACAACGCACTCCTGTTGTGCCTCATCCACTGTATTCTCCGGACCTAGACCCTGCAGACATTTTCCTGTCTAAGAAAGTTAAAGCCAAGTTGAAATGACGTCATTCGAAAACCATAGAGGAGATTCAGGACAATGCGAGAAGCGACCTGCGCGACATCTCAGAAAATGCGTTCCAGAAGACTATCCAAAAATGGAAGCACCGTTGGGAATGTGTATTACCAGTAGAGGGGACTAGTTTGAGGGGGCAGTGATTAAAATGTGGTGCAATAAACAATAAAGATGCTATAGTAAAAGTTCGGTTTCTTTTTGAACATCCCTCGTATGCATGATTTGGCTACAAATACTAAACCTTGGCACAGAAGGAAGATGGGTTCCCAGAGTTGACCGAGCACTTATCAGGTGACATTTTGGTCCGAGAACCGTCGACGACAAAGCTATCGGTTGGTCTGTGTAGAATGAAATGAACACATGTAGTTTCAGGGTTCCAAACCAGCATCACAAGAAAAAAACGGTATTCTTAATATACATGGGTATCAACGATCTGCCTTAAAGTTTCGGATACACGTATGAAAAAATGAGGAGAGTTTCACCGGTTGAGCCTTAGTTGAGTGTGAACAGAATAATTCGGTCACTGACTCCTTCCAATTCGGTGCTACAGTAACTCTACGAAGTACTCAAAGCATAAAATAGCTGAATTTGGCTAACGAAGACACTCAAGTTTGGGGTCTAACGGTTACGATGAAATTCAAAAGGTAAAACCCAAAAGATGCCGGACATACAGCGCTGAATACGGAAGAGTTGAAGTAGATCACAACACGCGGTGATTCAGTTGCGTAAAGATGTTCACCGCTCACGCGAATAAGTGTACCGCCGCTGAAAAGGAGAAAGGGATATTAAAACCAACGTAAATAATAAAGGCAACCATCAAATAAGATTCCTGTCGATTGAAATAGAAATAGCTGCAGGATAGAGCGTGATGGAAGAACGAGTGGAAGTACACACGGTTAAAGCGGTGGATACCCGAATGGTGGACTTATCGTGGTAGCATAACAAATAGGTTGTCTTACTAAGGCAAGGGCGGCATCCTGGAATCTCTTCGCACACGGAAACAGTCGCAGAGGGCTGGAGGGTACGTACGTTGTCCTCATTAATTAAGTTCACTCGAGAACTAGTGGTTACTGTGACTGTGGCCGCAGGTTCATGCATTATTTGACTCTTAGACTAAGCCGGATCAGCTGAAGGCAGCACGTGTCCACTAGTAGAATCAAGACTTCGATGCTAATTCTCATTCACGAAGATGAAACTGGACTGGCTCACTGGTTGAGTCGGTGTTGAATAAAAGTGTCGTGTTTGAGAAGACCAACAATAGTTTGGTGCGATAGCCCAACGGAGGCTCAGAAACCGGCTACAACTCCCGAAACTGCATTGTGAAGAAAAATGAAAACGCGGATGTACACAGGTTGTGTTCGTGGTGACTACATAACAGAGAATGTTGTACAAACCAGGGTAAAACAAGTATCGCTTAAATGTCTGTAGTGCATTAAAATAGCACACACGAAGGAAAATGATCAGACTTGATTATGTAACCAGCAGCATCATTTTAACATGGAAGTCCCACAAAGTCACTCATGGATGAGCACAATGCAGTGCATGCTCCACATCATAGTGAGGTTCATTATCAAACCCAATGCTATAACGTTTGATGTTGGAAGATATAAGAGAATCCGATGATTGATGTGCAGACAGCTGTTGACCTTCCAGACTAATCTGAGCGTTCGGAAAATGAAAAATAACTAGCGTGTTTGCTTACACCCCCAATGATACACGGAGACTGATGTGTGGATGTGTGTGAGATTAAACTCCTCACAACACGGGTGATTATACAGATGAGTGGACTGAGGCCAGACGGTGGCGAATGTCGAAAGCGAGTGATTTCCCTTGATGACGCGGCCAGAAATATCTATGGGACATTAAATTAGACATTAAGGAGGCAACAGATCGTACCCAAGAGACTATATCGCGATGAGGCATGCAACCAAACAGTATTAAGAGGTATTGAATGCACGAGAACTACTAAGTGGTTTACAACCGGCAGGTGAATGGAATTTGTGATGGCCTTTTGCAAAAGACAGCAGTGGTCAATGACGGTTCTCACCTCGCTAACACATTTCTCCTCCTCACTGCAGTTATGCGAGGATTGGCAGAGTAGAAAAACGTGAAAGGTAGAGCGGGTTTCGTCGCGGTGAGGTCATTCATAAGTACCACAGTCATGGTCATTCGACTGGACTGGGAAGATGATGGGTACGAAGCTGGCTCAGTGTCATCCGCAGCGGGTGAACGTTTCCGACGCATTGGGTGCTGCTGAGAGGTCATCGAGTGAAATATGTCGGGTGGGAAGGCACGTGTGCGACATGTGATCATGTGTTGCAATTCACTGATACGGGGTGAAAGAAAGAGATTAGCAGCTGGGTGCAATAAAGCGTTATTTCGGCACATTTAGCAAGCTTTTGCGCATAATCCAATGTATAGTGTTACGCAGGCCTTTGTGGGGATGGAAGAAGAAGTATTACTTGACACGGCGCGGAGAATTGCGGATTACAATCATATGTTGTTCCGTAACTTAGGGAAGCACTACAGGGCATGACATCACAGTGTAAGGAGCGGAAGGCACAAGTCAGAAAGGAAGTACAGTTGAAGTAGGTTTGAACAGAGCTTCGCCCAGAGTAACGCGGTCACCGGGCTGAAAGAATGCAGGGAGTGATAAAGTAACGCGAGAGTTCGGGGCTAACATGGCCTCATGCTTTGGTGACCATGAAGTGCGTCGGAGCAGTAAACAACGGAGTGGTACTGAGCTTAAGGAAGACATCTATTCCCAAATAGCAAATGATGGGAGGACAAATGATCAGTTGCATGGATGACCTACAGCAAATCGCTAAGCAGTGTGGAAACGGAGAGATGCAATGGAGTAATGTGTGTTTTCTGGTGAACCAACCGAGTGAAAGGCTTTGTAAACTAATCCTAGTAGATACAATTCGTTAACCGATTAGTTTTAGATAGTCCGGGGTCTAGCGCCAAAACAGAAACCGCATGAAACTCGAAGGCGTCAAACATGCGAAAACATATGACAGTGCTTATTCAAATAGCAGATGGAATGCTACAAGCTGTGCCATTTTGCTAGAGCTAGGGCTCAGTTTATTTGGACAACGATGAGCTGGGTGCCGAAGTGCAATGGATTCAGTTTCCTTACTCACATTGTCAAAATAACCATATTAATAAGACTATTGACAAACCAGTGGAAGTAAACGATAATGGAAGTCATCAAATGTGGGAAATTGGGGTCGTAAGTAAAGGAATAAATGCAAGAACACCTGTGCCACGGGGCTTTGCTACACTGGATAGGGTGCACAACCACCGATGTGGCCCATCCTGATGACTCTATTCACCCACCGTTCGTGGCATTTCGGTGAGTTCTACCATGTTTGTTGGCTGTGCCATTGTTTGGCCACCTCTGATTTTCATCCAACTTGGTCGGTACACTGGTTGGTACAACCAAATTGCAGGTATGCGGGTTACACGACCGAGCCAGTGCAGACAGTTCACGTTCAACGGGCACTCTTAAAGGTGACCGGAGGGTCTGCTACCAAACATAAAATCTGGAAATGCAGTACTTCCCACCCAGTGCTACCAACAGACATGGGATGTTTCGTGAGCACCGGTGGTCCAATACGGCCGATGTCCTCAGAGCAACGTACGGAACCGGACTGACAGCAATGGTGTGCCGTTCAATCAAGCACACAACAGTTCACTCTGCGTTGTTGATGGTGAGTACTATGCAACGCCAGGTGCGACTCTTTCGCAGTAGAAGTAGTCCCCAAATGCAAACTGGAAGCGTTAAACCGAACTCGTAGGCTGAGTTATTGTTTCCTGAACTCAACGATTCCAGGGTTTGGTGTAGGTTATCGATACTATGCTTCCAAATGAGTTGCTCCAGCTATATCTCCTGGTTGTGCTTGTTCCTTTGATGTCAACGGAAGTTGAAAGTACTTGTAGGCAGAGAACGTGTCGCTAAATGCTGTCTCATAAGTTCTACTAAGATTGCAAAACCGCTTAGCTGACGCCGGTGAGCGACCGATTGCACGTAGCAACTGAGATCGCTAATGCAATTAACTAGAACAGTCGGCCAGAACGGAGTATGCAAAAGCAATGCTTCCTAGCTTTGGTGGCAAATTGGCAATCTGATGGACATGTCCAAGTTGGACCATGCATAAATCGCCCCGGTTCATCCGTGGAAACTGAACAGTCCCGGCAAGTAACTGACTATCGATTAACCTGCTAATGTTGATGTTTCATGCTCTGTTTCGCATCTTATCTGTTAGAATGATTAGAGCTGTAATTCCCGTTTTTCATCCGCCAACCTTAACTTAGATGAGGTTATGAAAATCAGCTGACTCCAGCGCACCATTTCCCTGCAAACCTGAACAGTTGACTGCTCACGCTCCGTCATCTTCTTTATGTCATCCTTATTCCATCGCTAATGTAAGTAATGCTTGGGCCCAGTTGCTATCTAGAATGATTAACTACTGAGTTGGTGCAATGCAGTATCATTATTGCACCTATCTAAAGGGCACCTACTAGAAGTTGTATTACATGGGGGCAATCTTCTGGGTAGACTAAGAAAAAGCTAGTACCAACGGTAATGGTACGTCAGTGTCTTAGTATGTTACATCGGAAAGGAATCGGTGCATAGCGGCAATTGTTTATGTTAGGAGAACCGAACTGCTGCACCCGACAGATAGAATGCAGATCGTTAGCAAATAGCCTATGGTCACAGCAGGATACACAGTGGCATGCACAAACGGTTGGGTACTTGGATGACAGACTTGCTACGTCTTGGACATTTGTAAAACAGTGCGAACACTGTTTTGAAAGCCGCATGTTTGACATTGGGCAGTGGGACTTAGTTGATGTAGTACTGTGGTAGTCGTCGTGCCAACGAGGCCGTAAGCGGCGAACACACAGCGGCGAATACCAACAGTCCGTAGTTGGTACTTATTCTCATACCTGTGCAAGTAGCTGTTTGCCTGACCTTTAAACGAAACCCATACACCTTTGTAGTACTATTGTTCATGAGGTCTAATGTGTCCTATCCCGTTTGTGGCAATTCATACTTAAGTTTGGACAAACGCATGTGCATATGTTGTATTCGAACTGCCACTGGACACGAATGACGCCAATCCTTGTATATACGCATACCGAATGAATTCGATGAGGATACTCCTACCGCTTTTGCACGGCCAACTTAGTGCAGGAATGAAGCACTGGAGCAAAGGGAAAATAACATTACCAGGACATGAAGAAGGTGAGTTCATGACAAAATGTTGGTTTCAGACGTTGTGAATCCAAGGCAAATTTGATCGACGCAAAATCCGTGAAATGATCAAAAGGGCGGTTACCCAAGTGCATAAGGTACTATTGCACGCGGAATAGAAGCACGATACGTACGCTCCTATTCGATTTAATAATCCAGGCTAATAAGGCGGCGTATATGGTACGTTTGCCTGCGTGATGAGTAATGTTACATTTCAGAAGTAGATGTTGTTTGAGCTCCCCAGGGTGGCTGCACCTGATGTGAAGGTTGACAAAGTGCAAACCTGTCTAATACTCTCCACCTCGATTGCTGGCTCCAGGAGACAGTTGGCAGTTACTGGAGGGGACAGGGTGCACCGTCCTCGTGATGGTGCTAGCCTCCAAGAGTGGTTCCATGCGCTCAGTGTGGAAGCGGCCAGGGCCTAGCCACATCCTTGTGTACGGCTGGTGTGTATGATTTTCCAATTAGGCCGGAATGCTTCTGTTCTGCTTGTTGAAGGAGTATGGCCGGCTCCGTTGATGAAACGTGACTCCTATCCACATGTCTTCCGGTCTTATTCCTTCGGGTTTGCATCGGATATGGGGTGTGTGGGTGGAATTTTGGGTGGTGCAGAGCAAGCCACTCATGTTCACACTGTAGGCACAAGCGTCCTGTGGCTGTCCCCATGGAGGCCACAGTGACAAGTAAATCCGGATACGGATGCCGCCAATTCATCCAATCCATCTTTACCATATGGCATGCTCTGGGCGACCTAGTCAGAGTAGAGTAAGTGATGGACATCCTATGTGTTTCGAGAGCAAGTAAAGCGGTTAGATACAACAAGCTGACACGCGTGGTGAGCCATATGCGAGATAGCAGCCTCACTCAACTGCGCACGAACGTCAAGGTGGTGCTAGAAAGAACCAAGATGAGAGATTACCGAGGCATGAGGCAAGGCTATCGCGCTCGACATGGCAGTGAATGGGAACGATGGCCGTACGCAGTCTGGATAAGGGTTCGACTTAGCAGCGTAAACGGAGAGGTGTGAAAGCATACACGAGAGTTAGTAGGCAATACGAAGGTTTATCCAGGAATCAGCGTAAAGTTAGATCATTCTACTGTTGGGTGCTACTGCACTTTGCGCTTTGTAGGTGCATAGTTAATGCAGAGGGTCGTTTCAGGCGGGACCGTTAAATTTGCCGTTGCTGTTGAAAGGTCGGTTGCACGCAATCCAATGTGGATAGGAAAATTTTGAAGAATTATTTGGTCAAACTATTGCACATCACCGAGATCGTCTAAATCGCTTATTCTTTGAAAACTTGCGTTGAGATACTGCACACATTTCGCAGTTTATTACTTACGGTAAGATGAAACCAATCGTCAATAAATGCTTCCCTAAAGCTTAACTGCGTCAATCAGATAAAGTTCTGTTAATTCCCCGAGGTGATATGCGATCGCTGCAGAAAGTTGCGGGACTGTTTCACTCGAGTGACATCTGTGCACCATGTTCTCGTTTTGCGTTTCCATTTGTGAAATTTTGTCCATTTAATAATGCCGGTATGGTTTGCTTGCAGTGGATGGTGCACAATGTTGAAAATACCCCAAATCCGAGTACATAAACGCTAGTTGGACTTAATCACAGTCTAGTCAAATAAATGGATATAATCATTATGATGTGCACGTCTACAGCAATAGCAAATAATCATGACTGGGAAATGAGGAAGAACGTAAAGTAGAAAAGACAGGCCAATAAAAAAGGTAAAATTGATCGGCTCAAGCAATGGGGGCCGGATGATCCATGATGTAGCGCCGTGAAGCCTCCGGACTCAGCAGATGGTGGGGTTACAGTAGTTTTAGTAGGATAAATAAATAAATAAATACAAGCTCTCTTCTTTACTCCTGTGACCCGTATTTTCAATGGAATGAACCAGTTCGTTTCATGAATTCATTAAACGAATTGTTTAAGAAATCAAAACCTACACATAAATACCAGTTGAGGATATTCAACGTGAAGCAAAAACCGTAGAGAAGTGAGTAAATAAAAAGCGGAACATCTGAGAGCCCAGCCGCAATAGAGAACCGGCTCG